GACTGTATGTTTATGCATGCTCGGCGTGTGGATAATGTAATGGAGCAGAATTCAAGGAAGTGCCTGCCAAAAGGTTTGCATGGTTCTGCCAATTTCACTGCTTTAGGCCTAGGGCTAACCCTGACGCAACTCATGGCGATGACTTTTAGTGAGTCAAATACATGCACCTTCCCCCACTAGTTGCAGGCGTCAATTTCGCGCTGCGACGGCACTGTAGATTCCAACTGCAATGAAAACTAGAACTCGTTAGTTTCGTCCTTTGGTTGTCTATTGTTTGTCGCAATACAGTCATAGCATGCTGATTTGGTTCTTCACGCATTCACTTTTTTCAAGTTCCTCCTATGTGTGCGGGCAAGAGTCTTGGTGTGAGGTTATCGCGGCATTTTTAGTGATGTTGTCACTTTGGCTACTCTTCTGTGAGCTGTTGATATCACATCTCTCTGCTATTATACAATTTATTGTGCTTGCTCAGTTTCTTTTGCCAGTGTTCCACGTAACGTTACAAGTAATGAGAAGGCAATGGAAGTTGAAGTACTCGTGGAAAGGTTTTCAAAATGCTGATTGCGAGGAGCCTGAAACTTGTTCTTTATCGTTTTTTCTAAAGTGCCGATGAAACTACTTGATCCTTTTGCACAAGACCTTCTGTTTCTTGAGTTTTCTACCATCTCCCATGGGCTGTGAATCGAGTAAAATGTTACGTTGCCGTCGGAACCGAGCTGAGAATGCTTCCAGGCCTCGGCACTATTCGCGTTGCGAGTACAAACGGACCACGGCTGCGGAAATCGTCGGGAGAAGTCCCCACTGAGCGGTCACTGACCGCGTTTTCATGTGCCCGCGTAGGTAAATCCTGGCCCAGCTCGCGCCTAATATGGACACACTGTCACTGGGGAATAAAGCGGTGGATTAGAGTGCTTGCCCATTGTTGTCTGTACAAGTACATGACTTGTAGTTGTGATCTCTGAGGGATTGAGGTTGAAGCGTCTGCGGGATTAGGCAATAACTTTACTACTGTTACGACATGCAATCTTGCGACATGCAATGTAAGGCCTTGCACGAATAGAGGATAGAGGAAGAGTTCTATATCATCAATAGAGGACTTTCCAATGAGTCATACCGTGCGGCCTATGAGGATTCGGGCCAAAGATCATCGAGTTCACCACCGATCACCGGACTTGAAACGGAGCTTGGGTGGCAAAAAAAGAAGACTGCACTGGAAGGAAACAGTGTTTTTCGAAAGAAGTTCCATTTTGCATACTGTAGTTTGAGAATACCAAAGGGCTGCTCGCGATCGGATGTTCCCACACCTGGATCGTCTTTGAGTTGTTATCGTTTTCCCTACGATGGAGAACGACGAAACCAGTGGATGACGGACACACGACTCGAGAACTTCGCTCCTTATGCAAATACTTCGAAGTACACGAATATTGTTCCATCACTTCGTTGGCGAAGAGAAAAGTCATGATCATCCCCTGTCACCCCAGTACGTATCGAACTAACTAACCAACTTGTTCAGCTCATTTGTGGCAGCACCAGTAAAGGCGGAAACACAAAGATGATTCCGAACACTATCAACTTACTTAGTTTGTTGGGGTGCAAGGTATAGCTGGAGTTTGATGATTGATAGTGCTGATGCTGATGGTAATGACTAATGTACCCAGCTCTATGCACGTGCCTCTACATGACTGGTGGTGCTAGCTATTCTATTTCTAGTACTGGCCCTGGGTGCAACTCATCATCTCTTCCATGCCAGTGTGTATGCCTCATGTTCTGCACAACGTGCATTTCCTTTGTCATGGATAAATACTCTGATCGACCTACTTGCGCAATCTTCTTCTGCCTCCCACTTGGTTGCTGCGCTGTGCAGTTCTTCATCTGCTGCGGCACATACTAGTATACCTCATCTTCTGTCTTTCTGGTCGGTACATGTATTCAGCTTCTTGATCTTCTTGTGGTGAGGATCATCTTGATCTTACTTCTTGTGTAACTCTTGCAAAGGCAGTAAATTACAAATGGAGGACACTCTACCGGTAATCAGCAACTGCTTATGGAGAATGCCAGGTCGAGGGACGACCAGGAAAAAAACAATTGCTGTATTGGATATGCATTCATCAGCGTGTTTTAAGATCAGGACAACTAAGTTCGCCACTACACCAACTTTTTGGCTACATAGGAGCAATGATGATGATAGCCGTGTTTGACTTGTCAGCTTTCGTGCTACCAGCCACTGCATGTCAACATTGTCATACTCGTACTGATAAGGAAGAAAAACCCACACACGCACGCACACACACACACACACATGGATACACTGACAGGCATGCAAAGCAAGAGAGACAGAGAGAGAGAGTCAGGCAGCGAAAGAGAAGTGAGACTACTTGTAGGTTATGGGCACGGTGCTCCAATTATATTTCTGCCCGGCTGAAGTAAAATCCATGTACACTATTTTCGTGTAGTGTTCATTGACGGTGCCAGCCACTGGTGAGTGACCCAGTGGTGTAGGTGTTGACATTCAGCACACATCACATTTCAGTCTCCAACGTAAATTCAGTCAAAACCACACTGCACTGCAGCAACATGGGAACATGCTTCTCCCAGGCCCACCATGCAAGTGCAGTGTGCGCCAAGAACAATTCCATGTAATTCAGCAGCTACCCAAGGATGGACAGGTTCGGCAAAAACACTCCGCGAGTGCCTGACGTTTGCAAACGTATTTTGTTGACAGTTGTTGTTTCTTCCTTCGATTGGGCAAGACACGATAATGTGCCAACCCAGCCAGCAATGAGACACATGCATTTGTATCCATCAGGGCTATTGTAAGACTTTAGAGAGTCCTTTGCATATGTGCTGGGGACATTCACTAAATATTTAGAGAGGCCTGGATACCCAACGCAGGGGGATTGGCTGAAAGGTCTTCGTCCATAGGTAAATATGGATCAATGTACTGGGCCCACGGATTCTGTCAATCTTCTCGCGGCAACGCCTCTTCAAGGCTGGAATAAACAGTAGAGTAACTGCGGCTAGTAATCCTCGCGACTTACCGAAACTATTCACCATATCAAAGAAAAGCAAAAGTGCTTCACCACTGCGACGCCTGCAACATCATTTTCAACTCGTACACCGAACAACACATTTGATTCTCTTTTTGCCACCCAAGCACATTTTACCGTAGGACACGGACTTGTCTTATGGGTGATCTTTGGGTGGACACCGGGAAGGCGCCAAAAAGGTGATGTAATGGAAAGTCCTCTATAGGTGTGCGCAGGTTTATCAGTTCCTGGGGCGATTCGGTGAGACCTGTACCATCACCCTAACCCCTGGGCCAGAAAGAATGCTCCTAGCAATTATCTGTGCGAGCGCGTGTTACTTGCTGAATGTAAGTAGTTTAGTTCTCGCCTGTTTCAGTTGCAGTTTCGGGCCTTTGTGTCTAAGCCATTACTATAGATAGAGATCATCCGCAAGCAACAATCACGGTTGCCACTATAGTTAATGGCATTGGGAGCCTAACAGCACGCCGTACAGCTGACGAGCAGCAGCAAACGAATCGAATTAGCCAGTGACAGGAGGAAGACTGTGCCTGGTGAGCTGGCGGTGGAGCAGAACAATTGGGCTGGTCTCACGATGTCATCACCGTGGCCGTTCTTCTTGTTGGTGACCAGTCCTATAACATACCAGTAGTGTGATTGGTCGGGCGAGCTACGATTTTAGTACAGTACAACCTGTTAAGGCGACCACTCGGATAAGGCGACCACTCGGATAAGGCGACCACCTGTCCTAGAAGACCACTGAAACCAGGACCCAATGGATGTTATTTCCAGTCAAATGACCCTGGATACGGAGACCACCTGGTAACAGAGACCACATTTTGAATGTCCCTTGAGCGGTGGTCGTCTTAGACAGGTTTCACTGTATTTCTACTGGAGCAGCACCTGAGACAACTCTGCAGACCGTCCTTAACCATTCATCAGTTGTGTGCAGCTGGTTGCGTGGGTGAATAAATTCCTGAGCTCTCGCCTTCCCACTTTGTATCCATCACAGGCATCAATAATGGCATCATGCGCGCTCCATGACCTAACAGACACACACCGTTTCAGTTTTACTTTCAGTTCAACTAGTACACACACAGACACGAATTGCGGTCACAGATACTCGCCATGTTGGTGCGTTCTGCCATTCGCCTGATACTAGACTCATGATGGCTAGCGTATGCATCTACATACACTTCGACTTGGTGATATGCACAGGAAAGGGGAAATCGACACGGATATCAAGCCGCTCATCATCCGCCGTGCAACGGTCGCCGAGATATGTTTGACATGCAGCTTGTCGACAAACCTAAGGCTAAGCATGCATCGTGTCAAGAACACATTAGTAACGTACCCTTTGATCCTGTCAATGTGACGGCCAGCATACTGTTGCATAATCAACAGTCCAAAGATTGCCAAATCAAATGGACTCTCGATGTGGTTCCAGCAGCTTTCTGAAGAATTGGTAACGTGATACCTGCGATCCAGGGAGCTGTATAAAAAAGGGGTTATAACGACTCTCTAGTGCGATCATACTGGCAATGCTGATGCTACAATGCAGGTGCAACCTATTGGCATAATTATTATAACCGGCGTGTGCATTCACAGAAGCTTTGCGTTCTACCGTCAGTCAGTCTGTGTTTTTCCTTATGGTGAACTACTCCCCCCCCCCCCCGCGAGTTGCCATTGCATACACTACAGCCAGTTAGCTAGCAGGCCAGTCAAGTCAGTTCTGCAGTCACCGCACGCCGTCGACCGGCTTCGCTGACGTTCCACGGTATTGGGTATGGGTATTGGGTACGCGGGTTGTGTGCTCTAAATGCCCTAATCGTCTTGCTGTCTGTGTTGTCCTGCTTGGTCGGCCAAAAGCAACCGTGATTGGCTGTAGGTTGGCATGGTAGGCTGGCGTAGAAGTAGGACGGGTGCTATCCTATGGCCTACCAACTACTTGCTGACACGCCAGGGTATGTTCTAATACAGTTTATGTTTGCTTGTATGCACTGTACTTTGTAGTGCTGTTGCTAATGATGGTGTGTGTAGTGCTTGCATCCCCGGTGTGAGGTAGCTGGGCGAGCTATAGCAGGGTAGACCGTGAGGCCATCAATCTACTATGTAGCAGCGGCCTCTCCCGTTAGCCGCTCACGTTTGAGAGCTGAGCGGGCGAAGCGAGCACCTTTGTGCCGCATACCAACCAGATCAACATCTTCACGTACAATTATTGAGGTAGCGTGCACTCAGCGCACTGTTAGTGCATGGTTGGTCCTACTAGCTACCAATGGTCCTGATCTAGGTGGCTATCTTTTGGATGCTGTGGCTGCTGCTAGTAGGAGGCGATGCCAAGCAATCGGAGTTCCAACCCCAAACTCTACTGAGTTGCAGTCCAGTTGCAGTACGAGCTGAACTTTGTGAACTGGTTTCGCTTCGACAGACCCTTTGCAGACTTGCAGACTGGAGGCGGACGGGGCGTCATTGCAGACGCTTGTGTGGGTGACGGTTGACTTCTGGGCAGTTGGGTACATGTGGAGAGCTAGCTGCCATGAGGAGGGATAGCCTGCTGGCTGTTGTCCAACTGACGATTGGCCTTGCGCACATTGTCAACTCGCAAACTGCACCTCCAGGTAAGTGCTGGCCAGATGTCTCTATCTGTCTCTGTCTGTCTCTCCCTGTCTCTCTGTGTCTCTGCCTCTGTCTCTCTGTGTCTATGTGTCTCTGTGTCTCTGTGTCTCTTCCTTCTTCTTCTCTCTCTCTCTCTCTCTCTCTCTCTCTCTCTCTCTCTCTCTCTCTCTCTCTCTCTCTCTCTCTCTCTCTCTCTCTCTCTCTCTCTCTCTCTCTCTCTCCAAATATGTGTATGTCACTCTCGTTTGTATTGTGTATATGTGTGTCACCCTCTACATGTCTCTCTCTCTATCTCTCTCCATCTCTCTATCTATCTTTTCTCTCCATTTCTTTCTCTCTCTATTTGTCTATATCTCTCTTTCTCGCACGCACGCACACGCATGCACACATGCATACGCACACAAGTAAAACAAAGTACAGCTGTATCAGCATTACACTATGCAGTTGGTCTCTGTAGGTTGGCCTGGATTGACTTCGGTGACACACACTAAACTAAAACCGAAAGTAACATGTACATGCACTAGTTCCCATGTTCACGGGAGGACAGGACCTGTATCAACAAGCTGCTTACGCTCTGACTCTGGTTGACCTCTTCAACTCTCAAGTGGCGCTTTTCATGCACCTGGCTCTTGACAACATCGTTCTAATTTTGGCGTTGCTCGCAGTTATTTCAACCCATGGCGCAGACCTGATGGGTAGGAAACGCACGACGCGATGCCTTTCAGTTTCATCCAGCAGTATGAGCTCGTTGTAAATTCCCGGTGAAGGTCATGAGCGATGTTTACACAAGTGTTCGGAGAGCTTTGGACATTGTCAGCGTGCGTATCCTGGTTGATAAGAGCTCTATCTCGTCGTACTGCCGATCTTGGTGCGGGGCGGCGCGATCCTATGACGTTTGTAACTGCTTGTCGGGCATTTTGTACATGGATGTCCTCTCCTCCGTCAGCCTCAGGATTGTCTAGAATGTACAAGACACAGTACAGTAGCAGATATGAAGTTTGATGTCTGGGTGATATCCTTAGTGGCGACTCTCCCTTTCCTTCAGTGATCAGGGCCGCTTAGGTACTGGCGCGGGCAACGAAGGTGGAATGCAGTGCCACTACTACTTCTACTAGTGGTCAATCTATGGACTGAGTCAGGCTTGGTAACCGTAGATAAGCTCGATAAGGTCGCATGTCGTTTGTTCGTCCGCAGACATGGTAGAACGGTGTCAATACGTCGTGGCCTCGCTTTTCTCTAAGACTGTTGCAAGCCGCTGGGAGTGATGACTGTCATAATGTTCAATGCCATCTCTGCACTCTAGCGTTGCGTTCATGATAGTACCATCGAATAGAGTAAAGCCTACTAAAGGCATTCTAATAACCAAAGTCGAGAGTTGCGTGGCGGTGGCGGTGGACATCGAGAGTTGTGTGGTGGTGGCGGTGGACATTGAGAGTTGTGTGGTGGTGGCGGTGGACATTCATTGAAAGATACATGTACAGTAAAAACTGTAAGCGCATCACAATTCACATTCGCCCGCCTTTCAAGTCTACCCTGCTAAGAGACTAAGAGGGCCATTTTTGCCGCGAAAGAGCCTCAGCGAAAACAGATTGTCAAGTTGTCATCGACGTACGTGCTTCCTTGCTTCATATCAAGTCATGAGGGAGCCTCAGTTTAGGGAAAGTTTGGCATGGATATAAAATTTTAAGCCGACCTATCCAAGTAATCACTGCAGACAGTACAGTCGACATGTGCATCATGTATAGAACAGTGTATACATGTTAATACTGTATAAATTGCACAATTCTGCTCAATGAAATCCGATCCCGTGAGCCTGGTTTGCGTGCTGGGCTAGTTTTCATCCCAGTGTTCGCAGGTCTAGGACTGCACAGCGCCCGGCGTGGAATCGACCCGCCGGATTGGATTTCATTGAGCAGCTCTTGGCACTAATATAAACAAACCGAATGAAGAGGCAATCCTAAACGTAACCATGTGATCTGTTTTCTCGCGACACATACACACCTGCTCAGCCATGATGTTCACCTTTGCCCGGCCTACACCAGTACACGTGCGCTATGCAGTGATGAGTAGTTGAGGTGAATAAGGAGCTGGGAGAATTGTTCAAAACGTCTCGCTGATAATATTACCAATATCTAGTATAACGTACACGATGGATAGAATGTGGAAGGCCAGGTTCTTCTGAGTGCAACGCAGAAGATGTTCTAGATGGCCCATTGATCTCAAGAGTTCGACTTAGTATTACTACAGAGCGGTAACACACGCACTATCCTGGGGACAGCATGAAAGCGCAGCGTCTTCGACAGCAGCCTAGCCCGTTGCCATGTTATACAGTGCATAGCCCATGTCACCACAAGGCACTAGCAGTCTAGCACTACATGTAGTCCGTGTGGATTAAGGTGCATATCCTTTGGCTTTGGCAATTGCAAGCAAGAACTTGACATGCTACAACATGAATATGCTTCGGTGTGTACCTGTAGCGAAGAGAATGGAGGTATCTAAATCGAATCACCTCTGTCCAGACTGACAACATAGCTCGACTACACCACACTGCATCACCCAATGCGCGTTCTGCTTTTATCGGCATACTCGTACCATAAAAACTCTGGACATGTAGGTGTGATTTGTTGAGGGAACGGAAATAGTGTCTTCGACTCAAATCACTATTAAGTATAACACTGTCTCACGTCAGAGGTTACACTAAGGAAGTAGCACAGATTGAGAATGCGTGTTTTCCTGCTGGGAAAGTTAATTTTTGTTCTTCCACTACACTTCGCGAGCCTAGCGGTACCCACATCCGTATACTAGTGCTGGAATTCTTCTGATCACTCCTGAACGCTGCCAGTTGCAATAAGGCAACCCTTTTCAAAACACAATCGAGATTCTATTATGTTGCCATGATCATCAGTAACACTTTCTACTATGCACAAGTAACGTGGTGATAACATCACGACGAAAGTCCAGTCTTGTACGTGCTCAAGTGTTGGCATTCGGGCGCGGACAAACGGGTATTCGACGTGACAAGATAGGGTACTGCCACTACTGGTCGATTAAAATTCCAGTTTCCACGCCGTTTTAGCAACGTGATTGGCTCGGCAAGCATCGGCTTTGTCTCGCGGGTGTTGCACCATCCTCTTTCTATCGTGTTAGAATCTGGCCCGGGCGGAAACCGCGGCACTGCGACCATGTTGTGTACTATCCTGTTCAGAGCCGTTTGTCATCATGATGGTAGTAGCCAGGGCAGAATGGATGGGGACCACGTTTCCCCTGGTGTTGTGGGCGATATCATGGGCACGATTCTGATCTGAAACGAAATACAGTGCCTGGTGTCCCCACGACTTCATCCTTGAGTTTCTACATTGTATGTATCAGAGACCGTATACCCCCACCTTGACTTCAGTAGGGTGTTTTTATAGTTTACCAAGACAAGAGGCTTGATATGTGTGCAGAATCACCAGCTATTGCCATGTACGAGTACACCATATTGATGGTACCAAACGTTGGTTAAGTTCTCCGATCTGAACCAGTGGAAGCATTGGGTTACTGGCTATAGATTTTATTATTATTATTATTATATATTGGAGGATTTCCCAAACACATACCGGTAGTCTAAATTGAAGGGAGTTCCATTATAATGGGAGGCTGTAGGGTTGAGATAGCAGACAGTGGATGGCTAATGAACAGCCTAGCTAGAAAAATATATAATATAGGCTGAATGTTCCAGAATGGTCCTGTACTCAATAATACCTGTAGCCTCGGGGTATGCCCTGATCTACATGTCATGTTCATAAGACTCCGTGTGCCTGCAAACCTGAGAAAGCATGCACGATTCCCATCTTATCAGATTGCACGAAACCAAAATTGCCAGGTCCCTGAGGATAGAACGACTGTCGAAACTAACTTAAAAAAGGTCTTTACTCAATTTCCCATGCGAAACTGGCGAGACTTCGTATACATGTGCATGTACGTGGTACTTTGCTTGTCTATAATCTGCTTGTCCGAACCAGATAGGGCATCGTATATCATTGATGGGAATTTTCAGCGGCAACCACCACCACCTCAGTGGCAGAAGCGAGGGTGAACGGTACTTTTCCTTGGGTCGATTGTTAGTTTTTAAAAGGAAGACAATGTGCCCATATCATAATAGCAGGGACGACAGATCGGTGGCGATATGAGCTGTCCACAAAGGTCCAAAGGACGAAACAGTTCTGTCCGCAGATTGAGATATGAGCTGATTAGTTGAAGATACTTGTACCAGCAGTGATATGGAGTGTGTGATCGCCGTTCTATGATTATTTTGTGTGTGTGTGTGTGCGTGTGTGTGTGTGTGTGTGTGTGTGTGTGTGTGTGTGTGTGTGTGTGTGTGTGTGTGTATGTGCGTGTGTGTATGTGTGCTTGTGATCATTTGCAGCGCAAACAGGCATAGCTGCCGTTTGCACCGACCCCGGCATCCCGGACTATGGCTATCGTCACGGCAGCGCCGAAATGGCCGGCGCGGTGATCAGCTTCGGCTGCGACAATGGCTTTGAGCTGCACGGGGCCACCGTGCGCCGGTGCACCTACAACGCTGAGCTAGGTCGATCCGGATGGTCGGGTGTTCAGCCGATTTGTGAACGTACGTTTTCCTTGCCTTCGTAGGGTTCGTCTTTGAAATAGAGGAAGAAGCTTCTGTCATCATAATGACGGCCACTATCGCTGTCTGAACAAACGTGTATTCGGGCCCTAGGCCCTGAGGCATGCTTTGACACGTCAATTTTGGAGAACAAAACTTTCAGAACAGTAGATCTACACTGTACAGTTCAAACTTCAAAGTACTTCTCAGAGAAGGACATGTAAATGGTTCCACCAGTTAGTGCTATTTTGTCTTGCATTCCAGGACAAGATTGAGAAAGGCCGGAAGCAGAGTGAGACAGTGGTGATATTACCAGCTTCTGATGAGTGCTTCGGCACAAGCTTTGTCAAATGAAGCCTGATTGTAGGCCTACTGGATTCCTCATCATTCCGACGTTGTGATGAAAAAGGGATAATGCCTTAGTGTATGATAAGCAATAGTTAGTTCAAACCTTTCCTCCAACTCTTCTTTTTTTTATCGTCCCGGTGTAGATGTGCGGTGTCCTGTATTCCAGCCATTGCGCAACGGCAACGTGGAAGCCACGCGGAGGACGTTCAAGTCAGTCGTGCGATTTTCCTGCGATAAAGGTTATGAACTGAGCGACCCCGGCGCAGAAAGCGTTACTTGCACGTGGAATGGACTATGGAGCAAAACTATTCCTACCTGTGAACGTAAGCTGCAGTGTACTACATTGTAGTACAACGACTATGTACAAGTCATGTGTGATTCTGAAGAATGTCGAGTGAAGGACCGGGCAATCATCATGGACTGTAGTAGTTTTGGGCCCAATATTGTTTTGAGTTTTTTTTATGAACTACAAATCATAGCGGCTTACAAATGCTATCTTTGAGGTTTACACTGGGGTATGCTTGTAAACTTGTGAGGAGAGGGAGAAGTATTTTCGCATGCAGTTTGCTGCACTTGAAAGGACAGCGGCGAGAGAGGGAGGGAGGGAGGGACGCTGGGAAGGAGGAAGAGAAGAAGTGGGAGATGGCTGTCACCTGTACATGTACGGCTTACAATCCTGATCACTCTCACTACTACTACTAGTCTAGCTAGGGTCCATCTGCACCCGGCCATACTTCAATGTAGAAACTGCATGTCAGTAATTATCATGGTCAGTGATGAGGACTCGGATTGTAGTACGAGTTGCTTTTGCAGCAAATGGCTGGGTTATAGCCTAACTTGGCAACATAGCATGGCGCTGTGCCCTCTTCATTTTTTGGCTTACCAGTTTCAAAATCGGCAGAGCCCCTTGTACAGTGGTGGACATACAAGTACCAATTGTTTAAGTTAACCCTGCACAAAGCTTGTATTGCATGCATGCATGCATGTAGGACACTGAAGAGACACAGTCCGTGCTCAGTGGTGCAATCAGGCTACAGTTGCATGGGTGAAAATGGAAATAGGCCTAGATCATGCCAGGCACATTACAATGGTAAATACACCATGTGTAGAGCATTGCAGGTTTACACAGACACCATTATGTACCGTATACTCTCCCATGATTATAAGCACAGGTATATTACTGCGGGCGCAGTCTCTAATACCAGCGCGTTGTGCGCACCTTTTGAAACATTACCAGCAGAGTCTCCCGGAATGTCAGCACAATCTTGCTGGAATTCAGTGTTGCATGCATGATATCTAGCATGGATTTTTCTTCCCCTGTAGAGTTATTGGTTAAATACAAGCACAGTCTCCATTACAAACACAGTACCCAGTATAAGCATGGGGTAGAGGGGCGTTGAAAGTGTATAAGCGCAGCGCTTATAATAGAGACTACACATATGCATATGTAGGAGTTGCATTATTTGATATACTACACACAGACTAACCCAGCCCCTTCCCCCTTCAATATCAAGCTGGCTACTGTTACCCTGAAAGGGATGTGAGCTCCAATTTAACGATCCATCTGACCGTGCTGAGCTCAATTTTAGGCAGAAATCGCTAACGGGATAACCTTACCCGCCACTTCCATTCTGTTTGCCCTGTCCATCATGGTGTGTGCAGCTATTTCATGTGGGGAGCCAGAATCACCGCTGCCTCGTGAGCTTGAGCGCGTTGGAGACAGCTTCACCCATTCTTCAACCGTAAAGTATCGATGCGCAAGTCGGCAGCAGAGCATCGAGGGTGACAGCAAAAGAACTTGCCAGGAAACTGGAGAATGGACGGGCTCCACGCCTCGCTGTAAAAGTAAGAAGAAGACCATGTGGGCGTTCCAGGGTTAAATGCATCTAGTGGAAAGGGGAGGACCCAAAGCGGATTACAAGGTGACATGACGACAGTGGATTTTTGCTTCCTGTTAATTGTTGAATGGCAGAATCGGTGTAACCACAGCGCTGCTCAATGAAATATGACTGCGTGCATGAGTCAATACAACGCCGGGCACTATGCAGCTCTAGACCTGCGCGGACTGGGATGTGAACTAGTCCAGGGTGCAAACTTGACTCGCGCATTCGGATTTTATTGAGCAGCACTGTCCTGGTTTCTGGGCGTGCTATAAACTAGTCAGCCTATACTCCCATCGCCATGTAGAGGTGATTGAGCCGTGTGCCTGACTTCCCATGGTGACGTATAGCGTGTGATCCGTGTGCTTTGTATCACCACAGGCATTGGCATTGAGTGTGTCAAGCCCAGGAGCATCGCCGATGGCAGCTGGGAGGTGTCCAGGAACCCGGTGGCAAACTACACCATGATTACCTACTACTGCGACGATGGGTTCACACTGCGTGGACAGTCGAAGCGCGTCTGCTACTCCAATGCAACTTGGTCTGGGGACCCTCCAGTGTGTATCGGTAGGTCATTCAAATGATGTTTGTTGATGTTGATAGCCTTGGTTTTTATGTGAGTCGAAGCAGTCTGTTCATTATACTCGGATAAGAAGAAAGACAAATTGGTACTTCGAAGTATCATTTAAGACGAACAGTCTACCTACATGTACATGTATGTAATTAGACCATGTACAGTCAGATAGTGCAACAACTATGCACACAACTGACAGGGTAGTGAAGCGTTAAAATTAATGATGCGTCTCCAACTGTAGTTTCTAGTTGCAGTAATTACTTCGAAGTAGTACCATTTTGCTTCCTCTTTTAATCTACTGTAAATATACAAAATTTCGGCGCTGCAAAATTTCGGCACTTCACGATTTTTGACATTTCGGCGGCGATCTATTTTCGGCGTGGGGTAGAGGGCATGGTATAGTGCGACAGATGCTGTGAAAAAATTCATCGGCGTTTTAATTTAGGCGTTTTGGGTCGGTGCCGAATATAGCCGAAATTAAATAGCTGCCGAAATGTTTGTATATTTACAGTATACATGTAATTAATATTTGCTCGCCAGCCAACTTCAAATTTGTAGAATCTGTTCATACAAGTTAATTCGCTGGTGAAACACCCCCCCCCCCCCTATGATGTGCATGGCGAAGAACAGAACTGGTTGTCATGTTGAATCACTCGGCGGATAACGCCCTTTGGTTGGACATGAGGAAAGTGTGGTTGTTTGTGATTTGTCGCTATCCGTAATGTTGAACGTATGCAGTCAAAATGGTTACTAGGCCTGAACAAATTCACGGTTCACAGAGACTTGGTAAGGCCGAGTTTTCCGCATCCGTAGGGACGCCACCACCCTCAAGGATCAAGGCGCAAGGTTACTAGGTCTAAAGATGGTGTCGCTATTCGCAACGGGTTGTTATACCTCAAGTAGATATGCCCGATGTTGCCACTTGCATGGTGGACTGCACAGTCAACTTCGCTTATAACGACATTCGGCGGGGCATCAAAAAGGTGTCCTTATTCGCGAAGTGTCGTTATACCCGAAGTCTCATTATATGTATTACAGTGTGGGATGGGACTTTGCTCTGGGCATGGAAATTCTGTCGTTATTCGCGAATTGTCGTTATATCCGCAGTCGTTATTAGCGAAGTTGACTGTACATGTACTCTGAAATTCGATAGCACATGATTGTCTCATCTTGGCAGCCTAACTAACACTGGCACTACCTCTGTCCGTTTGTGTCTTTTGCTCATGCAACATCCTTCGACATCCTCCGAGACAGACTTGACAGATGTCGGCACTGGCACTGCTACAAACTCTTCTGCGGCCGGCAACCCGGTGACCACTGAGTACGTCACCGCCAAGCAAGCTAGCCCCGGCCTGTTTCAGCGCATTCCAATCCTGGTCGGAATCATCGCGTCCATTGTGGTACTGATGATTGTCGCACTCTTAGTTGCCATGTACATTGCCAGGAAACGGAAATCTGACCGTGCTGGAGAGAAAGTGAGTTGACTATGAATGCCTCAATGCAGTAATGTTTGCAACCACACAATGTGCCTTGATGGGGTCTGACTCTAAAGGCAGGGTTGTTACCTTTTGTGCGAGGTGATGTGAACGTGACCTGTGTTACAAGCTGAAGAGGGTACTAGTATGTAAACAAGAGTTGTGTTTTCAGGGCGTCACAGGGCAGCGGGGAGTGGTGGTACGGCCGGGGTGGGGGTATCCCCCTGGAAAAAATTCGGATTTTCGGACAACACGGCACGTTTTAGCGCTCCTTTATTGCCTTTCAAGTTGGGTGAATTGGGCAGACCATCCTGGACGAAAAGTGGTACGACCATGGTTGTACTAACCGTAACGTGCGTGACACCCCTGGCTTTTTGCACCTCTTCACAGAGCCCCTCCACATTGCCATGCTGGAGACGGCGGTGTATCCAGCATGTCGCTAGCGGACTGGTTCACTTGTCTATCACCGTACAATGGTGGATATTATCATTCTGTGCATCCCAGTGTCCAACCAACAATATGGTACTCCTCTTCTCACCATGCTTGTTCATGTTCTCTTCCTGTGCCTGTGTGCACGTTGCACTTGATTTCAGGGGGCAGAGAAGCCTGCCATCTATGCAAACTCTGCACTGTTTTCTCCCACACGGGAGGAGAAGGTGGATCCAGGCAAGCGCATGTCCATCACATCTAGCAAAGCAGTGTTAGTCAAGAATACGAATGCGATGGATGACATCTCTGAAGGTGGGTGTTCATACCACTGTAGAAGCATCCGCTACTGTAGACTAGTAGATGAAACAGGACATGTTTTTTTTTTGAAGTTTTATTTTACATCGCAAACCAAACGGGCATTGATGCCCAATATTATGATGGCGATAGAATAAAAAGTGTGGCTCGATAAAGCTGCACTTGAGAAAATGAGAAAACAGTCAATAGGAAGTATACATTGCTTCTTGTTTAAGACTCTGGCTTGTTTTACAATACCACTCCATGGCAAAGAGTCAGGATCACATCATAGTCACCAGCATGATAATGACATGTATAATGTATAATGTATGTGTAGCCTTAGGCACCTGTAGTTTTGCTACACTACTATGCATTGTACGGGAGAAGGATCACAGCCAGAGCAACACTGTGTCTGACGGAATGGCTGAACCACTGGTATTGCCGTGCTCTTGTATCCGTTGTGTGCTCCTTGTCCGGCACAGAGAGCAGCCAGATGTCATCAGTAACACCGCCGCTGCCACCGCCTCCACAGCCCAGCGAATTACTCGACGAGAGCGCCATTGTCGCATCTCTCACCCCGCTTTCCCAGGGCGGGGAAAGCTCACCTGCCAATGGCAATGGTCACAGCAAAAGAATGAGCACAGGATCACTGGGAGCCCTGGCCGCCGAAATCAACCTGCGACACAAACCCAACCAGGATCATCGGAGAAGCGAGCCTCTCCCAGTCCTGCCCAAACCGTCGCGTCCACCTCATCCTCCGTCCAAGCAAAACAGGCCGGCATTGCTGGTATCCGAGAGGATCGAGGAGAGTGAAGACGGTGACGTTGGGTTTTACGATGATACTCTTGCAGCGGCGGCCTGCACAACTGTTCCACCTCACCGCGGCACCATGTCTAAGAGGCCAGCTGCCCCGCTGCCGAAGCCTGTGACCAAGAATCCCTCGCTGAACCCGCTAGAGAAGCTCTTCCAGAAGAACCAGGACCACGGCGAGGAGGACAATGCCGTGGTGGCGCGGAGCACTGCCATCATGCCGGCAAGCAATGACATCATAGGCTGCTACAGTGGGATTGACGGCGACGAGGAGAACGAAGAGCACTTGTACGAGCCAGCCCCGTGTGGCTGGGGCAACCGCTTGAGCTTGTCCTACGACGACGTCGACAGTGAGGAGGAAGGGCAGCCGGGTGCTGCTGCCAGTACGCTGGGCCGAGGCAACACATTCTCCAAGTGGAGTGATTTGCACTCGGACATGGCTGCCATCCAGGGCCACCTGGACTCCAAGAGCAACACGTTGACGTCCCAGATACAGGGTGTGCCCATGGAGGAGTACGACTCGCCTGCAGATGCCATCAATAGAGACGGGCGGTCCATGCAGAGGACGATGCGGCGAACACCCGTCGGGGCAAAGACAATGCTGCAACCACCACCACCTCCAATACCACCTGGCGGAATCCGCCCACTGTCCACCATTGCCCAAGCCCGTTCCACCATACACACCAGCAATTCATCGTCATCACTGCAAAGTAATGACTACCACTTGCCCATCGACGCAACAAACCCAATCAGCTTCACGGCGGTGGCGGCGGTGGCATCACGCTATCACGATCCGTACGACGTGCCGCTTGAGAGCATTGCATTCGAGGAGAGCATCGAAAGAGACTACGCAGTCCCCGTGGATTGTCCGGGCAGTGGAGGAAACTCCCTGCACTCGTCACAGAAGCGGATAAACATGATTAGCACAAAGGCCAGTTGACCGGTCCCGACGAGAATGCAGCTAACTGCTGTTTCTTCTCCTCTTCAAAAATAGATGGTTCCTGAACAGTAACGTTAGCTTGAGAACAGATCTGGACTATACAGGGTCTGTACAACACATGTCAACTCTGGACTATACAGGGTCTGTACAACACATGTCAACTGTGGACTATACAGGGTCTGTACAACACATGTCAACTTTGTTGGACTATTATTATGTTTATGATAAAAGTAGGAAATCCTCTTTTACCTTGAAGAACTTCATTTCAAAATTGCAACAACCTTATTGCTTGCTACAGTAAATCACTCGACAGTAATTGTTAAGTTAGTTTTGTAGCGCAAAGCCTTATGAATAGCTAGATTGCGTATAGAGAATGTACGAAGAATATGAATATTATGAGTATGAAGCAGCAGCCCCCCCCCCCCCATACTAGAAGACGTGCCATGTGCAAAGACTAGAACTGCTAAAGCACACATTGACACCATATCAATTTGTCTAGTAAAGGAAATAGAGCTAACATATCGCAGATATTTGCCACCGTGACTTCCACCTTTCTTTTTCTGTTTCCTTTCTTTCACACAACCTGCCTTGTAGCCAGATTCTTTTGGAATTGCGGCCTTGAATATTGTTCAAAAGCTGGTCAGTTGTTTTTTAATAATACCATGCGCGTGCACACACACACACACACACACACACACACACACACACACACACACACGCACACTTTCCGTACCTCTGGTCTGGTTTCCAAAGTCAGAATTGATCAGCCGATGGACAAGAGTGGTAGAAGCAGGACAGCCTCTTCTGCTGCACGTGTCGGGGAAGAGAGAGAAGAGGACTATGTGAGTGAACATGTGAGTGAGCATGTGTGTGTGTGTGCGTGTGTGTGTGTGTGTGTGTGCGGGCGCGCACGTATGAGAGAGAGAGAGAGAGAGAGAGAGAGACACACACACACACACCCACACACAGATAAAGAAAAAAAGGAGACGTAAAGTGATCAATGTACACAGTAGAGGACACACCAAAGCCGCAATCACAGACCACTGCAGAGACAAGTCTGGAGCGCAGACCACGGGCACCAACGAACACACACACACACTAGTGATGAGATCGGCGTTTGTGAATAGAAAATCACATAAACGTGAACAGGAGTACATCACCAGAGAATAGTGTCAGGCAATGTCCACAGAAGAACAGATGATGGAGAAATGTAAGGACAGTAGCATGTGTCTACAGAAGAAATTCACCTTCAAACAAGACACACCAGCTAGGACTAGTAGGAGCACATTACTGGCATCAGTCTTGGGCGCCTTGGCGCAGTAGGGGTCAATTGAACGGCTACAATACATATCGACAGGCAGTAATGAAAATAATAATAAGGTCACATAAGCTGTCCAGCAGCATGTGAATACCAGATAGAATATTCTAAGAGAAATAGTTGGGTATTCAGAATGATCGCATCTACGATCCAGCACAGGCCTAACGTTCTACTGAAGGACATTAAAAATACACTTGCATCATATTGGAAGTAAGGAAAAGAGGTTGGTGCACTGGGGGTGTCACCTATTACGGACCAGTCCATGTAATAAATAGATGTACCGAATGCTCATCAGGCCTCCAGTGCCCAGTAGCAGCAGGTGGCACGAACAGGAGATCCTGCTGGCAGCATTCCAGGCATCGCTCAACTGTTACTGTGACCGCATTACAAACTCATCACGATGCATGGCATCTAATGATGCGCTGTACACTCACATGCATGATTAGTCAACATGCTGCCAGTACATGTACTGCAAGCAATTGCCAGGATACTCAAGTCAATGCTCAGCTAGGTCTACTACTAGTCACGTCTGCACCTCATTCATGTCTACCCAGTACATGAGTACAGTCGCTTGCAAGCTGCACCATCATCCTGTATACAAACAGTACTCAGTACTTAACGGTCACAGTAGTCACACCATAGTATGATAGTCTATACCGCATCAGCAACCGGGGTAGGGCATACATCATGGGTTACTGGAAAGAGATGGCCGCGCCGTTCCGGAATGTTACAGTAAAAGCGGTAGTCAGTACTGCTGTAACATAACAGGGCGTGTACACGTTGGGATCTGCTGATCAATTCCAGCATCGTACAGTCAACACTCTCACCGGAGCTGAAGTTTCCGTACAGCGAGTCGCCAGGGAACACGCTGATCAAGCCGTCCATACACCTCACCCGTAGCGGACACCATCGCTCACTGCCGTGCTCCTGTGCTCGCTGCACAGCATGTTGCAGCAGTTCACTGCACTCGCCGTGCCGTGCTATCCGCAGCAGTTCCATGGCCTGCGGCGGCCCAACCTTGACCTCGCCGGCAGCTATGCTCGCTGGGATGTCGGACGCACGCAGCCACCGGACGCTCTGGTGCTCGGCATCGTTGACAAGCAGGTCCGGGACTTCGGGCAGCACGGTCAGAAAGAACGGCGTGTCGAATCGCTTCGGGGCGTTACTCGGCGTCAGCCACACAGACCACAGGTGTGTGCTCCACACGTCGGGGACGCAGTCTAGCGCTTGGCACATCGGTAGGAACTTGGACGCGTCTGCGCGCACCACACTCGCCCAATGGGCTCTATCCGATTCACTAAGTTTCACAACGGATGCCATCTCAGCTGGCTGTCCACCTCGGCTATCCAGTAGCCGATGCTTGAAATCAGTGTCAGTTGCAGGTCTGGCTAGCAGGATTCCCGACTCCTCAAACGTCTCTCTCAGGCTGCATATTTTGAACGCCAGCTCGGCTGGCAACCCGAATGGCTGGACATCCTCATCGTATGCTCTACTACGCATAAACGTAGGAGGTGCACGTACTTCGTTACTACATCCTGTGGTCTTGAGCACATCCATAGTGCTCGTCACACTGTCTGTTTTCAGGATCCGCGAGAAGCTGTCGAGCCAGTCGCTTCTCGAATCAGACGCGTCCAAAACCCCACCGGGAAAAACGTGATGGCTTTTGGCGAACGTTGCAGTGTTGCCTCTTTGCAACAACAAAATTGAATAATCACTGCCATTGACATTTTCAGCATTTCGCGCCGCGATCACCAGAGATGATGCCTCTCTCCATCTGCGAGAGGGGAGAGACTTGATCATTATCGACACTCCTAGACGTTCACCCTATTTAACAAATAAGAAATAAATATACTGACATGACAATGGGATGGATGTCTTCTTCTCAACAAATCAGTCTCAAAATCAAACAACAGCAAACAGAAAAAAATGATGATCTCAGATTTTCATGCTGAGGATTTTCAAAAAGGCAAAAAGTCCTCTTCATGCATGCTTGTCTCGTGCTCAAATCAACGACAGATTCAAATCTTGTTCATCAGGCCAGATCCAAGCATCAGGTTATTTTGATGAAAATGGCTCACCTGACGCTTGTCCAATATCTCCAGGAGGTTAGCGACCCTTGATGGATGGACGAAATGATGTCCGTAGTTACGAATGTGATGTTGTTGTTACCTTTAGGTATCTGGAGCTTTGAGCACCGAGGACGGAGACCACTTGGCGGTAAATTTGCGTCGTGATTTTCATTGAATTTTGTGAATTTCAATTGCATTCAATTTGATGTAGATACAACCTGTAGAAATGTATGCAATCCGGTGGAATACTATGCTATCAGGGACATCGTAGCCCAGCAGTGCATATGTTTATAATGAAGTTCTCCCTCTTCTTTTCTGTACCCTTTTGTAGGAATTGGTGTCCTATCGACATCCTCACATTCAAAATCCTCGATTACAGGTGAGGCCATGTAGCAAAGGGCTTCATCTTATGCCAGTATGCACAAGTGTACATACACGCACATACGCACATATGCACCCATGCACACACTCACACACACAAACATACACACACGCACACACTATGATACGCCCAGGCTTCCACACGCCCATGAACATACCGTAAAGTACCGTTGATCCGCCCCCTCTCTAATTCCCGCTCCCTGTCGATTTTCTACCTGTGAAGCGACTTCGGCGTATACAACGAAATACGATGTTGAACCGACGCATGCACTGCTGTACACAAAACATGCCAATCCAGGATGAAAATGTGCACAATCCAGTACATCGAGGCTGATCCTCCACGTTGTTGTACATCGTACTGCACTTGACAGCCTTGATCTAATTCCCGCCCCCTGCCGAAAGCCCAGCTGGGAAGCGACATGGCGTGGGGGTGGGGGAGGGGGGATCAACGGTACTTTACGGTGCTTCAAAGTAGCTGTTGATTTTTGGTTCTTGCACTATACACAACGCATTCGTTGGAACATTGACTGCCATGTGATAATCTAAGCGGATCAAAAGCAGAACAGTGAAAGTATGCCGTGTGGCTGAAGTTCTGCTCAAGGTGCCACTGGCACAAACCTTGTATGCATCACTCCAATGCATGTTACCGGTACTAGCTGTGTACCAGATACACACACTACTACATTGTACTTTCTTATCACAAATCAATGTATTGCTAACTTTCGTCCTGTATACCTTTACGCTAGTAACCTCAAGCCACCACCCATGATGTGGGTGCTAAAGTAGTCGCCTCTTCGCTGTTGCTTGCTTCTTGTTGCAGCTAGTTTAAGTTCATAGTAGTTATGTCACCGTATCATTGTGTACTGTTGGATATGCTTGTTATCAGTGGTCGCTTCTGCTTTATGGAGTTGATGGTGTTGGGTTTGCTGCAGTAGCGCTACATGTACTGGTGTCAGTTTCTGTTTTCTTTCTCACCGATATCCTTAACGACTGAAACTTAATTGTCAGCGCACACATTTGTGTTTGCTCTCACCATTATCCTTGCACCAGTTTTGGCGTGCATGTTTTATCCCATATAAAGTATGAAGTTACAGTCACCCGGCTCTCCCCCTTGTCAGTATCATTCTGAAGAGGACATGGATCCGTAGACATGTCACTTCTGTACCCCGTGTTCATCAGTATCAAGTCTTATTCCTGTTGTTATGGCTTGCTTGGCTTGCCTGTGTAGTGTATGGATTAGTAATAGGTTTTTCATTTGACCCGACGAGACCACACGACGCTTGCAGATCACAGCACGAACAGTTCACCAGCCACACTCGTGCTGTGATCTGCAAGCGTCGTGTGGTCTCGTCGGGTCAAATGAAAAACCTATTACTACTGTATTTGACGGACCTATTGAAGATGGCAACAAAAAATTAGTGTATGGATTGACTAGCTGTATCTTTGCTGGCTTGTCACTGTGCGGGTGATTATTTTAAAAGATCTTGCCAGATGTCCAATGATAATTATAATTACCAACAAATTGTTTACTGGTGCATCCTTGGTGTTTTTGTCAGCTTGAAGATGCAGAAAGCAAATGCAGAAAGTGGATCGATCAGCCCTTTGACGAGGTCGTTACTGCACATTTAAGGTGGGTCGCTACGGAATTTATAACTATCGTTTTTGACAATGTCCTCCGCCTTTCCCACCATCAAGCATGAGGTTTCTTCGCTGCACCCTGCAGTTTATTTCTTG